GAAAATTCATCTTCTGAAAAATAAAAAGTATATATTTCTGAGATACATCAAAAGTTTACTTAATAATAATGGATAATAATTAATATTTTCATAATAAATATAGTGTAAAAAAAACTTATCTCATTTTAAAACATCACAGATAACGCTTATCTTATGCTGATATCTTAGGTTTGATGAAAGCGAAATCCATTTCTGTAAAATATATCAATGATTGATCTTTTATCGTGTTAAATATCAAATCTTAACAAATTACGACACTTCAAAGAAATAGTGTATGAATGTAAAAGAGATGTTAACGAGCAGTTATTGATCTCGAAAATCTATTTTTAAAATATCAAACATTTAAAGAAGGCATAATACACGGACTCTAGCTGAAAATTTCAAATATGGGATCAGTCGCTTTGGAGGAGTAATCTTCCACTGTAAACCAGTCTTACATGTCGTGCGCCCTATGTATTGATTAGGTAGGTGAACCTTCAGTAAAAAATGAGCGTACAAAACAAATCGTTTGAAACAAGCCAGTAAAAATTGGAAGCAATATTAGATAATATTTGCTAACAAAAACAATTTAACAATCATTCATTTTATGAATTGTCGACTTTAAACAAGGTTGTTAAATGTCTTTAAGGAAAGCCAATACTTTTACGGATCCAGTTTTAATTTAACACATCAATATAAACCTTTCATTATCACTTGTCTACTGAAACAAAGCATTTTTGGATGATTTAAAATTATTAAACATGTATATATTTGTTGATTTAAGTGTCTTTGTATATTCAAAGCATTTAATTAATATACATTATTTTATGGAAATCAACACTTTGCTCTCTGTCCATAGGATCTATGCGAAGTTTAGTACATACACAGACATAAGCTCTTAATTGCTTGTATGGACCTAAAGGTTTATCTTTTTATACAAACTAACTTGAGATCTATTTTTATTGATTTTAATCTTATATCATCTTTTTTAAATTTTACAATTTTTATAATTTTTCAAAGATTGAAAAAATTGATAATCCAAAATGGGCGTATATGTGTTCAATAGAATTTTCTGTTTGTCAAACATAATAAACTTAAAGGCACGTGTCTTTTTAAACTAAGATATAATTCTGAAAAGTTCTAAAGAAAAAAAGCATATAAACAGGTTAGATTCTTAGAGCTATTATAAATAAAGATATTTTGAGATTTTTTTTTGAAGGCTGTGGATAAATTCAACATCAATTTGTCATAGTTTACTAATAAACATTTTGAATATTCTCTTGGCAAGTGAATAGTTTTTATTTTTGTGCGTTTTAACAAAAATTTTATATGATTTGGTGCATACCTATATAGAATTTGATATCACACTTAATGTTCAATATGGCTGTTGAATTTTTAGAGGTATGTACTCTGAGACATAATGTATGAAAAAAATTAACCTGCAAAGATGTCTTTTATGGGCAATATTGTTAGTTTATTACTTATTCAAGTTGTTAAAATTTAAAAATCATTAGTTTGACAAAATTTTGAAAGTACGGTTCTACCTTAACATCAACTAATCGTTGAGTTCAAATAGGATTTGGGAAAAACATCATTTTAGTTGATAACGGAATACATGTAGTACATTTAATTCTTAATTTATTGTCTATAGTCAGTAAAACATACAGATACGAAACAGATATAGCAAATTATGTGGTGTCTTTTATTTTAAGTTCATCTGGATATATATCGAGTCGTCATACGAATGATAATGATTATTGCTAAGTGATAAAACATCGTTGATATATCAGAATGTTGAATTAAAGGTCACAGCTAGTAATTCTTGTTGGTTAAATGAAAAGTATTGCAAAAAAATTATTACAGTAATTAGCTTCATTTCGAGACTTTAAATAAGGATTCACATGCAGAGAAATATTTTCAGGCTGAGCACTTGATTTGCTTAAATTGTATAAGATGTTCGATGGATTAAATATTGTTTTAGATTCCCGATGATTAATTTTTTCATTCGATATGCTAGATCTACAATACTCCATTTCTCTAGGATCCTTTAGGGGCAATTTGATTGTATCCAGAGATATTAATGCTAATAAAAAGGTAGACGTTATGAATTTGGCTATCATATCTTAAATGATGACTGTCCACGATTATATTCAAAAATTCTTCATTTTTTTCAACAAAACAAAAGTATACTTTGAATATTATGATTTATAACTTCAGGTACATGTAGTCAGTCCAGGTACATGTAGTCAGTCTTCTATGAAAGACATTATTGTAATGTAAAGTTAAACAAATTGAATACACCCGTCAAAGATAAACTGTTTTTAAAAACAGGACATTTGCTCTGTTATTTCTAATGTTTACGATTCACCGAATGTGTTCAATTGTTGAAATCTGCTCACACCACTGAGCAGGGACTGACAAAATACTGTGAGATCATTTCCTTTCGAACATTTTTACTCTTAATTTTTAGCTCTACTGGTCAGAGACCAGAAGAGCTTATGCGATAGTAATGCGTCCGGCGTCCGTCCGTCTGTCTGTCTGTCTGTCTGTCTGTCCGTGTGTCTGTAAACAATTTTTCAAAACGCTACTCCTTCTACAATTTTAATCTGATTTCAATATAACTTGGCACACAAGTAGACTACTCTAAGATACATGGAATAGTGCATCGGTTTTTGATTTCGATGAACGGTGTTGCCATGATTACTAAAAATAGAATTTTCTGTGAAATTCCTTTAAAACGCTTCTCCTTCTACAGTTTTGGTCTGATTTCAATATAACTTGGCACACAAGTAGACTACACTAAGATACATAGAATAGTGCATCGGTTTTTGATTTCGATGAACGGTGTTACCATGGTTACTAAAATAGAATTTTCTGTGAAATTTCTTTAAAACGCTACTCCTTCTACACTTTTAGTTTGATTTCAAAATAAGTTAGCACACAAGTAGACTACACAAAGATACATAAGATAGTGCAATGGTTTTTGATAAGTACAAACCAGTAGAGCTACAGTCTCGACAGAGACTTCTGGTTTAGAGTATAGTTTTAATATTTTTCATTAATATACGAAAATATTGCCACTTTGTTAAGGATTAAGACCAAAGTTATAATTTGTGAAAGTGCAAAGACATGTCAATCAAACCCGAACAGAAAATCGAATTTTTAATAGCTTCGAAATGAAATAAGATTTTTATTCTATTTTCTTTTGAAATGATATTGTAATCTATCAGTCAAAAATTCGGGAAAATATTAACTTTAAATCTCTCTTTTTGCACCTTTAAATGAACTATTTTTTTTACAAACATTCTATAACCCATTAACTTTGATTAAGTGTCTTATTCATGATTTTATTATATTTTCCGTATATTTCCGTACATATAAATCTGTATATGAACAATTCAACTCTAGAAGTATTATGGTGTCTAAAAAATTATGCTATCCTGATGAAATTTTCCAAAGTAATTATGAAAAGGTCTGGCACACATAGTCTCAGATTTTCTTCAAACTTGGTATATGGTATCTTCCTAGGTTAAAACTTGTATGTATGGCATAATTTTTTTCTGGACATCCTCTGTTACCATGGTAACCGGGATACAAAATTTCTGACATATAGGGCTAATTTGTGTATGGCAATTTTGCTAAAATCACACTTTTTACACCATCTGTGCTGAACCCATATTTAAGATTAGAACTCTGTTGCTAATTTCTTATAAAACTACAACATCAACACTTTCAATGGATATCTTTAATATGTTTAATAATTATTTGAAAATTTTGTAATACTTTGAAAACAATGGCAAAATATCAACTTTTCGAAATTTGGGAAGAAAAATAAAAAAATTAGCAGAACTTTCACAATTTATCACCTATTTCACCTGAAGGTACTAGTCACAAATAATGAAAATATTCAAAAACATTCATGGGCAAATAACAACAAATGTTGACTATAACAAAATGAAAAATCATAAAATTGGCATTTTGCCAAAAAAACAGCTTTGATTAACATTTCATATAACAAGATATATTTTTCTTTTTAAAATAAAAATTCAAGGAATTTAAGCTTAAAATTTGTAAAATCAATCAGCTGAACCATAAAAAAATTATTTATTCATATCTATAGGCAGGAATATGATCATAAATATACCCCCCCCCCATTTCTAGCACAATACGAAAATAATGGTCCTCTACTACTGATTACTGCAGTTAATAAGTCTGCATCATAATTTCTAAATTATATGCTTTTATAATATATGAACATTATCCAAAACACAAAAAAATTACATAGTTAGCTGCTACGTATGATAGAACAAAAGGCTACAAAGTATTACAATTAAGACAAGTACTGTTAGCTTGTGAAATTTTTTTTCAACCTTTATCAAAATTATCAACTGCAATGTATTTTAATTAGCAAACCTTTTCATATGAAATTTAAAGAAGCTCTAAACAATACATGTGTATCAAAAAGTGATCTGCAGACTTTCAAGTAAGGAAAAAAATATCATATAAAGGTATGCACGTTGAGGCTATTAGTTCACTTTCAACAAGTACATGTACCTGCATTATTTCTACAAGAAAAATGTTATGAATTATTCATGAACAGAAAACCCTGTTGTTGACTATTGGGAAAATTAATGTGCATATTAATCAATTACTTATTCTTTGTCTAAGATAATGCTATTAAAAATATTTTAATCTATTACAAATTGTGAAATAAATGGTAAGCAACCATTTTTATTCTATCTGACTTCTAAGGGGAGATCACTCTTTCTGTATTAAACTACTCCTTCAAGTAGAGCTCATTAATGTGCTGTTAAGAGCTTCCTTAAATAATGACCTCACTGAGTCACTTAGAAATATGGTTGAATCTTGAGGATTTCCAGTATGGAGACACACATGAATATTCTCATTTCCAATTTCATCTTCAGGAAAATCACTCTGACAAGCCAGCTACATTGCTCCTCATTTGGGAAACTAAATTATTAGTAACAGACATCATGATACTTTTTAAGGAAAAAATTTAATGCCATATCTCCAACTTTTAAGGCTTCACCGTTGTTTGGAGATTTTATGATATTCAGCTTTGCACTTTACTTTGAACTTCATGATGTTGCATCTCCACTCATATATTTAAGATGATTTTTTTCTACCTGCACAAGTAAATACAATTTTCAATATCTTCAAATGAAGACAAATATCAAACTGAATTAAATACATAATTAAATTGAATGCATAAATATAAAAGCAAACCCTAAATCAAGAGGTGTTTTTCTAATGATCATTATGACAGGTGTTCATGTTAAACATGTTTTCTTTGATACATTCATATATTATTATGATTTTAAAAATTATTTTGATCAATGAAAGAGAAATGAGCAGACCATTACTACATGTAGTACTGTGTTTTTCTAACAATTTAGATTTGATTTTTGAAACCGGTTACCTTTAAGAGAAATGCATCTATAAGCTGTCCCAATTCCTGAAATTGTCTTTTCCAAAATTAACTTCAAGGTTTCATTTGAATTCTGTGATAGCCATGATTTACATGTGTATATGTTCCTGTTCCTTTTCCTTTTCATCCTCTTTGGTGAATCCTTTGAAAACAAAAAAATCAATATAATTTAATTTTTGTTAAAAATCACTAAATTCAAGATAAAAATTAATTAATTTTATAATAAAAATCAATCTATATATTAATTATTTTTCTGTCAACATGATCAAAAGGAAAGTCATATTATCCTTACAAAGATATGTACAGGTCAAGCACTATATAAAAGAGAGGTTAAGCAGATGACCGTGTACGTGTCCCTAGGGAAATCCCATATTTTTATGCGATTTAAGTCATCAGTTTTGCATACCGCGTAATTCTACAAGTTGTTCACAATGTATAGACTCGCAAGTACGTGTAGGTGAGAACTTGTAGCTTCTTAAACTCAAACTACAGAATATTTATTTTTCAGCTGGTGTTTGGTATGAATTTGAGTGTTTATAACGTACATCCAGTGTATCTTTTTTTATTTCAAGTCATAGATTTATTTGATACAAATGGATTGAAAAGTGTCGTGCTGAAATGATGTTTTACACATACCGGTACACGTGCAGATTGTTAAACAGAACACGATGTAAAATCACTGCTAGGTTTACATGTAGAGGTAGACGTACACGGTAAAATGCTTAACCTCTCTGTTGACAGAACTATTTCCTTTTAGTTTCATATATATGAGTATGTGTATTATATAATATGGCTGTAATGTATAAGGATTTACTGTTATACACAAAGATTTCATCGTACCATGATTTTTCATCTTCAAATATTTTTATACACCTGGAGTTTTTTTCTTTTCTGAAAAGGGAAACTTTCACTTAAGGTTAAGAAGATTACATTGACTGTATAATGTCTCTTAGTCTTTAGAATTTTTTAATACAAATATGGAGAGACCCACCACTTGCCTTTAGAGAGATACAATTTTTGTCCTATACTTGTCACTCACGACCATTGAACAGTGAGGGTTTTTTTGTTCCAGTGCCTACTGGCTACTGCCACACGGAACCTAAGTGTATATGATAGCATCCGAAGGGCTGGTCTCCACGTCCCACAGTGGGATATGAACCTGCGATATAAGCATTTACTCCTTAATTTGCAATTCTAGAGCAGACGCTCTAAACACTGCACTGCGCAAGCGACTTGGAAGTTGCTTTGAAATATAGGCCTACAGCTATCTACCTAGCCAAATCAATTGATTGTACTGGACCTGGTTATATAAAGAGATTGTGTCTGACCTGATTCATGTCTTCATGGTCTGCCACCAACATGTATTTTTATGTAATTATGTATGTAAATGTACCGGGGACAGTCAGGACAGAGGTCCCTTCAGGTGTCACAATTTTCATAGCAGAGGAATCTCGGGTTACATGCATGCAAGCCAATAAAATGGGGGAAAAGGTATACATACTTACCATTTGTAATATTTATAATTACCTCTTGTCTTCTTATGTATTATATCTTGGCCCTTTTTCCTTCTTCCACACTGCCAATCCTCACCCCGGACCCGCTTTGATAAGTTTTCTCACCAAACTATTTATTTACCACTACAAGTGCCTACATATTGTACCTCCAAACGCTAGAGAGTAATCCAAGGGAAGTAATTTGGAAGCAAAAAATGCTTCAAAATGCAGAAAAAATGGATATTCACCTTTGAATTTCTTTTACACATATTATTTGCCCACCAATTTTTTAATTGTTTAAATATAACCAAATATCAACCTTTCATGTTTTTTTATTGCTTAATTTGTAGATGGCTGCATTTTTTTGTTTTAAGTCTGTAAAAACTGATCAAAATTTACTATATTTTTTGACATTTTGCAATGCATAACATGACCACTTACGAGTGTAAAATTAAAACTGAACTGTAAATATTGTTGTTTGAATCTCTAGTATTGGATAACAACAATAAACACAAATTAAGATATCTCTGTTCATTTCTAGACATGGTTTTTCATGAAAAGTATAGATTTTCATGATTTACAAAAATGAGAAAGTTTGTATCCCATTTCTATGGCATTGCAAACCTTAAAATACTGCGAGGGAAGATTCAACTTAAAATTAAAGAAAAAAAGTCTCTGAAGACGTCTTAACTTATACCGTCACTTCCGGTCAAACTGAACGGAAGATCATATCGTCTTTGCTTTGCATGCAAGCTTTGTTCTAGTTATGTTTTTATTTTTCTATATGTCTGAATATTGTAGATTCAGAAGAAGAAGATGATGAAGATGACTCAAATAAAGGTTAGTGTCAAAAATCTAAATGCCTAAATCAAGCTATGAATGTGCTAAAATCACCTGACTGACGCATCACGTGACAACTCTAAATATAAAAAATTAATTGTCCCCAATATGTAGTTATTAACCATAAGAACAGTTATTCGATATAATTAATGTACTTAAAATAATTGCCATTCTGATTCTGAATACATTTTAATCACAAACAAGAGGCACATGGGCCACATCGCTCACCTGAGAATCTTTGACCATTCTGTTTTTTACCAGATTTCCCCCTTGTAATACATATTGTGACCCCACCCAACCCCATTGATCATAATTAAAAGAATTTGAAATCTACGCTGCCCAAGGGTGCTTCCACATAAGTTTCAGCTTTTCTGGCCCAGTGGTTCTTGAGAAGAAGATTTTCAAAGATTTTTCTTATATATTTCTATGTAAAATTTTGATTCCCCATTGTGGCCCCGCCCAACCCCAGGGGGTCATGATTTGAACAATTTAGAATCTACTCTATCCCAGGGTGCTTCCACATAAGTTTCAGCTTTATTGGCCCAGTGGTTCTTGAGAAGATTTTTTAATGACCCCACCCTATTTTTGTCTTTTCTTGATTATCTCCCCTTGTGAAACTTGGCCCTTTATTTTAACAATTCAAATTCCCCTTCACCCAAGGATGCTTTGTACCAAGTTTGGTCAAAATTGGCCCAGTGGTTCTTGAGAAGATTTTTTAATGACCCCACCCTATTTTTGTCTTTTCTTGATTATCTCCCCTTGTGAAGGAACTTGGCCCTTTATTTTAACAATTCAAATTTCCCTTCACCCAAGGATGCGTTGTACCAAGTTTGGTCAAAATTGGCCCAGTGGTTCTTGAGAAGTCGAAAATGTGAAAAGTTTACAGACGGACAGACGGACGGACGACTGAAAAAATGTGAGCTAAAAATGTCGATATTTCCATTGCTCACCTTAAAAGTAGGTCTACACTCGCACTACGTCATATACGAATAGTAAAACCGGAACCACACTTCCTTTTTCCGAGATGTGATTTTTGAACTATATTGGATTGACTTTTACTTAGCGTTTTAAATATCCGGTAACGATTTTGCTCGAAGTCGCTCGTGTCAACAAACGTACAAACACTGAGTGATTCTACACTAAATTAATTAAAAAGAGAAGACTTGGAACAACTTTCGGTTGACAGAGAAAAAATTAGGTAATAAAACGACATTTCTGTGAATGATACATGTGTAATATGCCGCGCCGATAACATGGACTACGAACATGCTACATCATGATCAGTACATGAAAGTCGGGGCGAATATTGTCAGTGGCCAAGTTAAAGCTAATAGTGATAATTCGCAAGAAAAGTAATTACTACGATTTCACTTAGACAAATCTGATTAATTTTATTCATCAAAAATTACAAAATTCACTTTGGAAAATAATTATTTCAAAAGACGCATATCCCCCCACCAACCGGCTTACCCAACAATCACAATGCAAAATTATCTTTAGGCTAGAATAATTATTTTTATATGAAAGAAGTTGATTCACTTGCAGCATACTTACTTTCTGTAACAAAAGCATCCGGTTTGTGAGAATCAGTCAATCACGTCCATTTTCATTGTCTCCAATTTACAGACAAGTGGTGTTTTAATGTTTTAGAGTATTATAAGATAAATTTTAGGGACAATAGGTATTGGGTGTGTATTATTATTGTTTTAAATATGTACAACTTTGTTAATACAAGTATACGCTCAAACTTTAACAGTACTACAGGAAAATGTGACAATATATTATTTTTGGAAGAATGAAATTATGGGGGTCCCTTTAGTGTAGAGCTCATACCATGAAAAGTAATGCGTCAACATATCATTTTTTTTAGCTAATTCTTTTTGTTAAATGTTTTTTAGTAAAAAGAATGCAAATTTTTGAAGTTTGAATAGATTAATTTTTCTAAAATGACCGAGATTGACATGTGAAGCATATTTTCTCATATTTCATTTTGATACGTTAGCCTAACAAAGTGCAAATAATTATAATAATTCATGCAAAAAAATGATTGTATATGGTTTACTAACTGGTTTCTACTCTATTTTATGTATTAAAGTTGAATATTTAGACTTTAATTCATTTAAATACAACAAAATCTAGGATAGGTAATTTTCAGTATTTTACATTTCGGGGTATGTACATGTACTCCGATAGGCAATAGCGGAAAAGTGAACATGTTGACGATTTTTCTTGTGTCTATTAATTGCTGGGATGTATAGCTAACTTATAAAAGCAGATTTTTTAAGATTGAGCCCATTTAGCGCCGAGTGTAGAACTACCTTAAATGTACTGAAAGGGAAGATTCAACTTAAAATTAAAGAATGTAAGTCTCTGGAGACGTCTTAACTAATACCGTCACTTCCAATCAAACTGAACGGAAGATCATCTCGTCTTTGCTTTGCATGCGAGCTTTGTTCTAGTTATGTTCTTATTTTTCTATATGCCTGATTGAATGTTGTAGATTCATCAGAAGAAGAAGATGATGATGACGCAGATGACTCAAAAAAAGGTTGGTGTCAAAAATCTAAATGCCTAAATAAAGCTATGAATGTGCTGAAATCACGTGACTGACGCATCACGTGATAACTCTATAAAAACTTAATTGTCCCCAATATGTAGTTATTAACCATAAGTACAGTTATCCGATATAAACAATGTACTTAAAATAATTGCCATTCTGATTATGAATACATTTTAATCACAAAAAATGTCAATATTTCCATTGCGCACCTTAAATGTACTGAGAGGGAAGATTCAACTTAAAATTAAAGAATAAAAGTCTCTGGAGACGTCTTAACTTATACCGTCCCTTCCGGTCAAACTGAACGGAAGATCATCTCGTCGTTGTTTTGCATGCGAGCTTCTAGTTATGTTCTTATTTTTCTATATGTCTGAATGAATATTGTAGATTCAGAAGAAGAAGATGATGATGACGCAGATGACTCAAAAAAAGGTTGGTGTCAAAAAACTAAATGCCTAAATAAAGCTAGTAATGTGCTAAAATCACGTGACTCTCGCATCACGTGACAAACTCTAAATATAAAAAATTAATTGTCCCAGATATGTACGAGGGGTGATCAAAAAGTTGGCAAACTAATTGAATAACTTCCATACAAGAAAAAATATTTAGTTTTAATGTTGATTATATTTTAAATTAATCCTCCCCGATTTTAATGCACATCAACCACGGTTCTGCGCATGCGCGAATCACGTGATATTGGCGGTCACGTGACCCCCTCCGTAGCGTTCTGTCACAAAAGTTGAAAGATTTTTCTGAGTTTTACATTTCTTTCCATGTGAGTTAATTTTTATGACAAGAACAGTTCATTTGTCAGAAATGGTCATATCTCGGCAACAGAATGGGTGGATAATAATATCCTTTCCAAAAATAAGCATGGCGACCATTAAAACACAAATCTTCTGTCTCTGGAGAGACCTTTATTCAAGGTGGATAGAGAATGGGTGCATCCTTTTTATCATATCTAATATGTTTAAAATCTAAAGTAAACGATATCTTAGGTATTTAATACTTATATCATTGTTCAAATATTCAACTATTTTTCAAAGTGCTAATTGGAGGTCTTTGATTGCAAATTGCTTAATTAAAAATTCATATCTTTTCAAAATTGCTTTCACTGGGCAAGATGACAAGTATCATTTTTAACCATCAGCCTTGCTTCATTAAAACGATTAATTCAATCATTAATTGAATTTATAGGAACTAATTTATCTCAATAAACTGTCTACAAATTATTATATGATACTGTAGAGAGATTTCTAAGATATTACAATAAATTGTACAGTCGTTTGTTGAACGAGTTCGACAGAGACAACCATTTTTCGTCACAAGTAACCTAAATAGTGACGTCATTTTCACATTGTGACGTCACAAACAAGGATAGAAACTTTTTTCAGCATATGCTATTTATTGAACTTGTGTATGGCTATGTGTGTACTGAATTTCATTCTAATCTGAGTTGTGGTTTTGATATAGAGATAGTTTGCGAACTTTTTGATCACCCCTCGTAGTTATTAATCATAAGAACAGTTATCCTATATAAATAATGTACTTAAAATAATTGCCATACTGATTATGAATACATTTTTAATCACAAAAAATGTCCATATTTCCATTGTACACCTAAATGTACTGCAAGGGAAGTTTCAACTTGAAATTGAAAAAATTAAAGTCTCTGGTGGCGTTTTAACTTATACCGTCCCTTCCGGTCAAACTGAACGGAAGAACATCTCGTCTTTGCTTTGCATGCGAGCTTTGTTCTTGTTATGTTTTTATTTGTGTATATGTCTGAATGAATATTCTAGATTCAGAAGAAGATGATGATGACGCAGTTGACTCAAAAAAAGGTTGGTGTCAAAAATCTCTTTTCAGTTCTCAAATGTACTATTGGGTATCCTCATGATAAGGTTTATATCTGTAAATTACTTTTATATACCACCTAATTTACATTCTTTAAATTTTAGTCGGGGGACTAGATATTAAAACATCGGAGCTTTTTGGATTAATCTTTTTTGCCCTACTGAAAAAGAAATATTTTGAAGGTGCCAAACAGCTGATTGAGACGGGAAGTGTAAGTAGATCATTAGTATGAAATCTGAATAAATATTAAATGTTGCAAATCCATTTGGATATTTGATACCTATTAAGGTAGTCCGATTTTTTTTTTCAACTATCAATTTGCAGAGTATCATGACAAAATATTTTGTATAAAAAGTCCACTTTCACCAAGACTCAAAACACTAAGGAACGATTGAACATTACATCTAAAATTCAGAACAAATCTTTAAATTGCCAGAGTATATATTTGAATCAGTAAAGCAAATATATAAATAACACCAACAAAGTAAGTAGTGCAACTAAATAACTTTTTAAGATCAACAAGGTGGTAGATTTTAACTCGAATTTCCTCCATAAAAACAAGTCATTGATTGAGAGAGTTCACTGCATGCACCGTTATGAAATTGTACATTACTTGTTTGGCGAAGATCTGGCTGTTTTTTTTTTTTTTTTTTTTTTGTTTCTGCTTAAAAGCAACCCTTCTTGTTTTACGCATAATTAATCCGTTACTTTGTTTTCACTCTTTATAACACCGCATGTTACATACATTTTTAAAGCGTTTTAAAGGTCAGGGTCATATTATAGAGGTACCTGTACAACTCGTCCTCAGAGGAAAACAGTCGAAACAATGGGGGTTTATTTTTTGCGTAGTACATCATCAAAAAGTAGTATAATGAGCCACCTTAATAAAACATGATCACACATGACGTTCTTCCATGTTTACAACCATTTATACCCAATTTTATACTAGAGTTCCAACAAAAGGGGGATATTAAACAATCTAGCTCCATGACATTTGTAAAAGGGGACTAAGATAATGAGTAAAAAGTGATATCGAGTATCTAAATCAGGTTTTCCTTTTTTAAAAAAGATATATATTAGATTTAGCATCTTTTTTCATTTGAATATTATATAATATTATACAGAACATTGTATACTTACACATAATACATAATAGTGAGGGAAATATGGAAATTTATTCACCCATGAAAAGTTTAACTTTCCCAAGGGCAACACCCGAGGGGAATATAATTTTTCATGTGTGATGAAATCTTCATATTTTCCGAACATTCATGCAATAATTTTTTTTATTATACCGAATCAAGCAATGCATTAAAATAATATGAATAGAAATGATCATGATCATTTTTAATAAATTTATTTAACACACTAAAAGTTCGTCTTAATTCAACAGCTGTTGAAGTAAATTGAGAAACATCATGAAACTTCTGCTATTTCATATCCTCTCTAAAAAAAAATACAAACTGCTTTGTATCATAGACAAGAAAAAGTGTTAATAATTTTAATGAAAAAATAAAATTTGGCAAATTGAGAAATATCACAATTTCACAATAAAAAACCCATTTTAATAACAGCCAAAATTAACAAATTGATCTCAGAAATATCACAATTTAAATTAGTGTCTTACAGGCACGCTAAAGATCCCTCCCTGCTCAAAGGCCGAAAGTGCCGAGCATAGACCTAAATTTGCAGCCCTTCGCCGGCAATGGTGACTTCTCCATATCAGTGAAATATTCTGGAGAGGGACGTTAAACAGTATACAATCAATCAATCAATCTTTGTTTAACATAAGGTAAAAAATATTTGATTACCTGATATAACATTTTTATCACAGTACAAGTACTGTAAATGTTTTAGACTCTAAAATAAAAAATATTCAGTCTTGTAACAGTAGATAAAGCAATGGAAATCAACATTCAAGTTCATTACTTGTGTTAATTTGGACTCGGCAACTTCCAGGTCCTCTACTAGACACACCTAACTGATTTTCAGACACAGGCGTTCTTTGATCAAATTCAAAGAGAACATTGGAATAATTATCGATAGGGTCAAGTTTAAAGTCCTCTTCAAAGTCAATGGCTCAGTCACTCAAATTTTCTGAAACTATTTCAAGAACTACTTTTACTTTTAATTTGTTGTATTTTGGTGTCCAAGGATTGCACTTAGGTTTTCTGATATATCCCTCTTCTTTCGGCATTTATAAAGGGGGAGTATGATTTGAGCGACGTCTCATATTTATGGCTGAAAACTTTCATTATATGTCGCCCACTGATACCAGCAACATCTAAAACAGTGAAACCTGTCGCACACAGAATGGTTTCCCCACATTTGAGACATAAAGCTGGTCAACGTTTTCCCTACAGATGTGTTTACATATGTATATACCATCGTCAGGGTCGAATGAATCTCTGGGTCTCTGTCACATATCATTCTTATTGGGATTCAAATTGGATGAATACTGTATACAGGGAAATTTTCGTCCCCGTTTTATTTTCGCCCCTTTCGCCCTATTCTCGATTGGGCGAATTGAAAATGGGGCGAATTCAAATTACACAGCATAATTTCTTAAACAGAACTTAAACTGGGCGAATTTAAAACGGGGCAAAATTGTTTGCAAGTGGAAGAGGGCGAAACTAACCCTGTATACAGTACTTTTGAAATGAAAACACAGGAAAGATTTTGTTCTCTGAAAAGACAAAAGCAATAATTAATGTGTATTCTATAAAATACTAGAGACCTCTTATTACAGTATATACATTATTGTTTAAATCGTTAATATTTATTATTAATTACATGGTAACTCATACATTCGACCATCTGTAACAATCCCCGCTTCATTTGCTCTGTGATTCTTATCCAGCTCATCAACAGACTTATACACATACTGTCTACCAACATCATCAATCTTGAATGTGTGTCTTGTCATGGATATTAAATTTTCTCAACCTCTTTTGCACAGGTACTGAGTTATTTCAAACCAAATTTTTCTCTGTAAACCACATGGAGCATCAAAATTAAATAATGGGTGTCGACGTTGTACAGTTTCTGGAGGTCTTTCTCAGAAATGGGAGGGGTAATCAATTTCCCCAAGTCCTTTTCTTTTCAAATCTGTAGAAACTGCTTTAAGGTTTCGTCAAAGGTCAACATGTCCAAAAATTTATTTTTACAATAGCCCCAAAACTATGTGGGGTATAAAGTTAAAACTTTTACAGTTTATAAATTTTTCAATAATTAACAGATAGAAAGTATCACTTCATAAAAAAAAATACTTGGAAAAAATATTAATTGAGAAGAATTCTTCTTTAAAATGCATATATTATCAAAAAATACACCTAATTAATTCCGCGCTCTTATTGAAAACCATTATTGCAGAAACAAAATATGTTTATCAATGAAGGGCAAGTTGGACTTGGATAGTCTCTGGAAAGTTGCTTTCCCTGTTTATTTTGTCCAAATGTTAAGAGTTAAGAGCCATTCTCTGTAATGATTTGAAATTTTATATAGGAGCTGTGGCACGCATAGTCTCAGAATTTCTCCAAACTCTCTATGGTAAAAGTCATTGATACCCTAAACTGAAATCAGGCAAAAATTGGTTGCTATGTTTTATAGTTACCATGGCAACACGCCTTAAAGTTTGAAAAATGGCATTTTTTAACATGTTTAGAGCCCCATAGTTAACATTTGCGGCAAAGCAAACAATTAGCAATGACTGTTTCCAAAAGTTGAAGGTCAGATGTCTCAAATGCATGATAAACATGTTTGGTAAATCAACTATTACATACGTTACTATGGTAACAAAGTATTCAAAAGTAAAAAAAAATATTCATTGAATTTTATGAAGTCATACACGTAAAAATAAAAAGCAATTATAGGATAAAATGTGACCAAATAATAGAAAAAGAGCCTTGAAACATATACCAAGAACAAAATATGATATTTCATTTTGGTTGGCAATGGTTGCCAAGGTTTTTATACCACAAAGAGCCTTCAAAGTAACACTATGTATGTTTAAATCTGATCCTATCTTTTAAAAAAGCACATTTCCTCATAACTATTTTTAAAGATGTTGGTGTGCTCCTATTTTTCCCATTTGAAAAAATTCAGATTAGATTCGTTAAATAGAGCGTTGCTATGGAAATAAGCAGAAAATATATGCTTAAAAACCTGAAAAATATTTTCTTTCCTTGGATACATACCCTTAAATGTAGACTCCCAAAACTTTTATGATTGATATTTATGAACAGCTAACCTGACTTTTAATTTTGACTATCATCCAATCTCTAAGTGGATGCAAAAATATGGCACACAGGGTTTAATATTGATATAAAGTTCACAAAATCGAACATTTTCCCTTCTTTGTAACCATAGCAACAGTGTTCTTTTCTTCATCAAATTTTATCAATATATGATATTCAACTTCAGTTCTAACAGATAAGTACTATTCAAACTGAGTCCTTTAATTTGTTTCTTGATTAAATGGCAATTTAATTCTTAATACAGCGATAAATAATTTAGTTTTAAGCACTGGTACTTTGCTTCCATGGTAACACTGCAAAGTAGCAATTATACACAATTTTTTTTATGGTTTTGGTGTTGCAAGTCCTAATGATGCATATTTGCCAGTCTTGAATTTTCATGTTTTTCCTCAAGACAGTAGCATTAACCCAATCTTAGTTACTGGTTTTGCATGGTTACACCATGTTACCATGGCAACCATAAAAGTTATTTGTAGAGTAGTATTGCTTATACTGTCTTATATACTTTAGGTCAAACATTTTCATTGTTTTTCTTAAGTCGTTGATTGAGTTTGAGAATGTAACACCTACCATTAGTGAATACGGAGTGTTTTAAAGCATATTTCAGCATTTTAAATGTATTCCAAATGTACCCTTGGTTACCACTTAGAGATATATTCTAAACAGTTTCTTTACAGTATAAGTGACAGCAAGGTGTTATGTTTTTGTTAGAATGGTTTGTTTGCTTTTTCTAGTTTTTATTAAGCCACAGTCAAGATTTAAAATGGCTGAAAATCTTGATTTTTCAAACTTTTCCGGCTGTTGCCATAGCAACCGAGACACGTAGCAACGAAATTTTGTTTAATATTTGTTTCTGGTGTCAAGTACTAAGCATGGGTGAAGTTTCATCAAAATCGGTGACCATGCGTGGCAACGAAGTTCAAGTGGTTACAGAGAATGGCTATTAAGACTTGAAAGTGAAAGTACATTGCAAATGGCGTATTTTATAGGGGTCTTCTCTGTATATATGTCATGCTTTCAATAACAGCCTTTCAGAGACCATTCACGTCCAACTTGACCTTCAATGATAAACATATATTATTTCTGCAATGATGGTTTTCACAAAAAGGACAGAATTAAGCAGGTGCATTTTTCTTTGAATATGCACATTTTCTGATACAATTTTTGTCAAAAAATCTTTTTAAAAATATTTGTTATCAAGCGATACTTTCTATCAATTAATCAATGATATATTTATAAACTCTAAACGTTTTGACTTTATACCACTCATAGTTGTGGAGCCATTCACGTCCAACTTGACCTTCAATGATAAACATATATTATTTCTGCAATGATGGTTTTCACAAAAAGGACAGAATTAAGCAGGTGCATTTTTCTTTGAATATGCACATTTTCTGATACAATTTTTGTCAAAAAATCTTTTTAAAAATATTTTTTATCAAGCGATACTTTCTATCAATTAATCAATGATATATTTATAAACTCTAAACGTTTTGACTTTATACCACTCATAGTTGTGGAGCTATTGTAAAAATAATTTTTTAGTCATGTTGACCTTTGACGAAACCTTAAAACAATCTTTACTTTCATTAAATTCTGAGTCTTTCACGATGTCAATGTTCCTTACATATTTAAAATAAAACTTTTCAACAAATACTGAATATTCTGTAATATACTTCTCTTGAAAAGCTTCCTTGACGTTTTTCTTCTAATTACGTAAAGGGATTTGAACGCTTTGTTTAAATCTTCCACGAGAAAATCCTCAAAATTCGTTGATAAAGCAGAACACTCCGCAAAATAATCACGAAAACATTTGACTGCATGCCTTTTATGTTGCTTTCTTCATGTTAGTGGCGACATTACCATTCAATAATAATACGAAATCCTCACTACCAGGCTGGTAAAACCTTGCCATGTTTGTTATCCCCTGTGTCATTCGGAAATTTACTGTTTGCTCATTTAACCGGAAAAGAAAGTCAAACAACAGATGTCCGAAGGGACGGAACAAGACGTGTTCTTGCAGGGAAAACATGACTTTCATGTATCCTCAGCCAATCAGATTCAGTTTTAGTAGTGATTATTTGTGTAAAGTTTAATAATATACATTTATTGAACGTTCGAAAGCATCATGCGTTTTGTCGGACACAAGAACCAAACTTACTAGTCTATAAATGTTTTGATTTAATTTTTTGGACATACTTGTATAGTGTACTTTCTTCCGTGATGTAACCTCAGGTCCGTCACTGTTTGGAACCAGCGGACACAAATGATATCAAGCTTCGCCAATTGTGTGAATTAGCGATAAAATATCTCATCCACAGGTCCAATATCTCACTCAGCGGTCAATCATCGATTTCTTTTTGCCCGCTCAGCAAAACTTTAGAAATGTTTAACTATGTGTCGTATAGATTTGTATAGAAACACATTTTTAAAGGTATAACAATAAAGAAATAGTTCCTAAATACGATAATAGACTGTTAGTAAAACATGTGAAATCGTAGCAAAGTATGGTATTTCAAAGTTGATTTACAAAATGCAGATATTTTACAAGCTCAATATTTTAATACATATATGTAGTAGACCTTAGATGACACTTCAGAAAACACTGAATTGACTTATGATCTATAAAACACCTACAAAAATTCAGATATTCATTTTAATTCCATTTTTGCTTATTTGTGTGATTTTCGACAGATATGCAAATGAGCTGTTACTAAAAAAGGTGCAGGGTTCGACAATTTTAGCTCACCTGAGCCGAAGGCTCAAGTGAGCTTTTCTGATCACATTTTGTCCGTCGTCCGTCCGTCCGTCTGTCCGTCTGTAAACTTTTCACATTTTCGACTTCTTCTCAAGAACCACTGGGCCAATTTTGACCAAACTTGGTACAAAGCATCCTTTTGTGTAGGGAAATTTAGATTGTTAAAATGAAGGGACATATCCCCTCGCAAGGGGAGATAATCAAGAAAAGACAAAAATAGGGTGGGGTCATTAAAAAATCTTCTCAAGAACCACCGGGCCAGAAAAGCTGAAACTTATGTGAAAGCATCCTAGGGTAGTGTAGATATTAAATTGTTCAAATCATGATCCCCAGGGCAAGGGCGGGGCCACAATGGGGAATCAAAGTTTTACGTAGAAATATATAGGAAAAATCTTTGAAAATCTTCTTCTCAAGAACTACTGGGCCAGGAAAGCTGAAACTTTTATGAAAGCATTATTGGGTAGTGTAGGTATTAAATTGTTAATATCATGACCCCTGGGGCAAGGGCGGGGCCACAATGGGGAATCAAATTTTTACATAGAAATATATAGGAAAAATCTTTGAAAATCTTCTTCTCAAGAACTACAGGGCCAGAAAAGCTGAAACTTATGTGAAAGCATCCTAGGGTAGTGTAGATATTAAATTGTTCAAATCATGACCCCCGGGGCAAGGGCGGGACCACAATGGGGAATCAAAGTTGTACATAGAAATATATAGGAAAAATCTTGGAAAATCTTCTTCTCAAGAATACTGGGCCAGAAAAGCTGAAACTTATGTGGAATCATCCTGGGATAGTGTAGATTCTAAATTGTAGAAATCATGACCCCCGGGGGAAGGGTGGGGCCACAATGGGGAATCAAATTTTTACATAGAAATATATTGGAAAAATCTTGGAAAATCTTCTCAAGAACCACTGGGCCAGAAAAGCTGAAACTTATGTGGAAGCATCCTGGTATAGTGTAGATTCTAAATTAAATCATGACCCCCGGGGGAAGGGTGGGGCCACAATTGGTAATCAAAGTTTTACATAAAAATGTATAGGATAAATCTTTGAAAATCTTCTTCTCAAGAACCACTGGGCCAGAAAAGCTGAAACTTATTTGCACATGGAAGGATCATGGGGTAGTTGATTTCAAAATGTCTTAATTATGATCAGTGGGGTAGGGTGGGGATACATAATGTATTACAAGGGGGAAATCTGGAAAAGAACAGAATGGTCAAAGCTTCTCAGGTGAGCGATGTGGCCCATGGGCCTCTTGTTTGTAGATATCCTGACTTCTACTTTTATATAGAAAGCCACTAAAAACTCCCAAGTTGCAAACTTCCATTAAGACGATTTTTAAATTTTGCATAGTTTTTTCGCGGACTGACTCCTAAGAATAATATATATTACGAAAACGAAATAGGATTAATCAATGATGAACTAAATAGTGAGTAATTAGTAAAGATCATCAAGTAGACCTATCAGCTACAAAGATTTATGTTGAATGGATATCGTTAATCAGTTTATTTTATTATCTTAAAGGTTAGAATTCATCATCTTTTGGTTGGTTGTGTTATTTTACAAGATATTGCAAATGACTGGCAAACCAGCCAAATTGAGAAGGACAAGTTGTTACAAATGAAAATGTAAGTTTTCAAAAAAAAAGTTAATGCAAAAGCTCTAATGATACCAATTGACAAAATTGAAATTTAAAAGCCTCGAATGTATTGAGTATGAAAGAATGGAAATTATCACTGTATGCTTCAGTTGTAGGAAACTGTTTATTTCTTGATTGTATTTGATCTAGGAACAGTTCTCCTTGCTTGCATTACACTAGAAACAGTTCTCCTTACTTGCATTACACTTAAAGTAGAAAATTATGGGATATGTTATTGAGCTACACTTGTACTTCTCAGATGCACGAAAGAATTTCTTTATTGAGACAGCGCCAACCTATCGTTTTGTGTTTTTTTTCTTTCATGTATCTAAATATAGGCTGTGTACACAAAAAGCCTTGCGAATTACAAGTTGTATTCATGAAAATGATACCAAAGTCTACAAGAAAAGGTATAAAGAGGGAAATGATACAGATTCAAATGCAAAAGAATTGGGAAAACGAATTGACCACGCAGGACGGCTCTTACTGAATCACGGATACCTAGCAGATGCCATCAAAACAGAGAACAGTGTCTATTTGAACGACGACATAGTCAAGAAAGTAATAAATCAAATGTGGTACAAACGGGAAAGCCTTTCCTTAAGGAGGGTGAGTGTTTGAAGCACTTTGTTTTGTTTTTTTATTTTCGTCTCCGGAATAATTTCGGTTGACAGGATGTTTTTTGTTTGCATAATTTTTTTTAATTGAATTTTAAACAATTTTATCTATATCTAACTTGACATATTTTGTCTGTTCCATGTGCGGAAAGTTTGGGAGAATTAAAAAAATAAACTTTTTTTATCTTTTGCCACTCTCAGAAAACAAAATACAACATTTGAACACCAAAAAATATTTTTTAAAATCGAGGAAGTTTTTTTCTCTTGTTTTCTTTAACCTAAGTAATGCACTGGTTTTATTTCCTTAGGGCTTGCTTTTTGCAATTTTGACGCTACTTCACTTTATATTATTACCGTCCTTGATGATCACAATGGAAAACAAACCATTGCAGAGGTAATATCAATTATTTTAAACTTATTTTTATTAGGTTTTTGTTTGTTTATTTGCTTGTTGGTTTGTACGGAGACGTCACCATTTACCGATGGAGGACAACATATATATATATATATATATATATATATATATATATATAAAATAATAATAATGATATATAGAGCCGAGCTCGTTGCGAAGTAGATCTTCCGTCTGATTTCGGATGAGATATGATTATGACTGTGATATGTTGAAGAACAAATATAGATAAAATAAAATTGATGTAGAAATGCATAGAAAAGTGATATTTTTATGTTTCAACCAATTTCCGGTTCATTTAATTCATTTCCGGTATGACTGTCTTGGAGTACATGTACATACCTCTATAAATTCGACAGCCAAAGTTGATCATAAAAAGGTGTCATATCATATTTTATTTAATTATGCACCAGATCAAATCAAATTTATATTAAGACCTATGAAAATTATTATTAGGAAACATTCACAAATTGATATTTTATCCGTCCACGTCTCTCTCAAAAAAATCTCAAAATATCTTTATTTGTAATAATTCTCAACATCTTAAAATCTCAAAATCTTAACTGTTCATATGCCAGTATTTATTTAAAACTATTAAGAATTATAACTAAGGAAAAAAACCTGCATAATTTATAAGGGTTAACCAGATAAATTTATCAACACAGCCCTGAACGCGTATACACCCATTTGTTTTAAAAAATATCATTCTTTTTTCAATCATTCTTTGCAAATATTTTAAGAAGTAAAATTAAAAAGATTTATGCTTAAAATCTATTAAAATAGATCTGAAGTTAGTTTGTATAAAAAAGCTTTAACCCCATAAAGGCAATTAATAATTTTGTGTCTGTGTATGTACAAAATAGCATTTAGATCTTAGGAACGGAATGCAAAGTGTTAATTTCCACAAATAATATATATTAATTGCTTTGTACGAACAACGGCACTGTAGTTAACAAATATATACGTGCTATATTATCATCAATTATTCAAAAATATTTAATTTCAATGAATGATTAAAGTGATTATCAGCATTTTATATTTGTGTGTAAAATTAAAATTGGATCCGTAAAAGTATAGAAGTTAAAACTCCATGATAAGTGTGTACATGTCTTTCCAGAAAGTTTTGATAAAAAATACGCTTTTAAACAACTTCCAGTATAAGAAAAACAACTTCCGGTGGACATGAAATGATTTAAAACACTGTACATTGTATATTACTATGAAAAAACATTTCAGAATGAAAAAAAAATGAAAATTTAACTACATCCGGTGGACAACCGAAGTAATGACGAAAAAAAAACGTAACATTGGAGACATAACAACAGGTCATGTTTTATGGTTCCATCTCCATCCACTTTAAAGGAAACCGGATAAATTTTTCAATTTGAATAAAGAAAATCGGAGACATCTCGCGACTGGAAGTGACGTCATCAAAATTAAAAAAAAAAACTTTTATAGGATCCCCCATGTTTGTAGTTGGATATGAGATGTATCAAACGCATTGTATGTGTGTGTGTTTTACGGAGCTTTGTCGATTGGGGGAAAAAAGTCATATCTAACGATAGCAAGATTATTTTCTTTTATTTCATTGGTAAACTTCAAAAAGATCAAATTAAGTAACAAGTAATTGATGCTTACATCAACAATCACAGAAAGCGTTCCCTTATCTGTTGTCTGACCAGTTGAGCTTATGCGATATCAATTTGTCCGTCGTCCGTCCGTATGTCTGTGAACAATCTTTCAAAACACTTTTTGTCTGGTTTCCGTATAACTTGGCACAAAAGTAGACTATACTAAAATGCATAAATAATGAACGAAGTTGCCATGGTTACGAAAAATAGAAATATCTGTGAAATTCTATTTCAAATGCGACTCTCCCTATGCAATATTCTCTTTTAACAGGCTATATAGACTGTACAAGGTTCCTGTCATGAAAGTTCTTCTAAACATGGTATGTAATAATGATCCACAACAAGCACTAAAATGACTAAAGAATCACAACGAAATTTATTATTTAATAAAAAAAAAATATGTATAAGATATTTCTATAGAGAGAGAATGTGAGAGAAGAAGGGTAGGAAAGAGATCAAGTGGGGTGTCTAATACTTATTTTTCAATCCAGTTCTTGTTCCTTTTTTTATTTCCTGATCACGTCTTTTTAGGTTGGTTGGCTTGCCATTTTAGTAGCGTATTCTTATATGCTGCTTTTTGATTTCACTGGAGGAGTTTCGAGAACACATTGGTTTATAATAGCATGGATGTCAAGTTTGTTTATTGATGAAGTTAAACAGGTAAGTTATATGAATGAATAAAAGTAAGAATTTCTTTATAAATTTTTTAATTGCATTTAATCTCATTATAGGTTACCTTAAAATTTAATGAAATATAACAATAAGATATATTTTATATGATTTAATAACCCCAAAAGATTTGGAATTTTATCTTGCATTAAACATGTAAAAATGTATTGTTTTGTACATGTATATGACTGCCGTCACGAGAAAAGGGCCCTTAAGGTCAAAATTTCACAAATTGACTTTTTCGTAAATTTTAATAGTCTGACATTTTCTGAGTCCAAATATATAAAAGTTTTAAAGATGTCACGTTTTTTACGGATTTTACAAGCATTTTAATAAGGCGCCTCTAAACGGTCGTTAAGTAACGTTACACACTGAAGAATTAAAATAACGTTGCGTAGCATCAAATTTCCTTTCTAGCATTCACTTTAATGACATTTGTTTTCATCAGCAAAAATCAGCAACAAGACTTCATTACTATTTTCAAGTGATATCTATACACTGCATGTGGATCTATAGAGTGTGAGTCGATTGTAAAAAAAAAAAAAAAAAAAAAAAAAGGGGGGGTGTTCACCCCCAACCCTGAACACACATGAAAAAGTTTTTCTCGGGTATTAGTTAGTTTTTTTGTTGTTGTTGTAGAAACATATCCTATTCAATTTTTTTTAGAAATCGAGTGGACCCTCCCACACACACAACTTTGGAAATATTCCTGGAATCGTGCATGGACTAAAGCAAATATTATATTTCTTTCGTGTAAAAAAAAATCCCTTTATTAATTCAGTTTTAATTGTTCTGCCTTTATGATCATAGTACAGAAAACAAAATAGAATTAAATAATAACGATCAGAACCTTTCACGAACGTTTTATTCCGTAAATGAAATTGATACTTTTTGAAACTTCTTATTTTAAGCATTTTAATCTACATGCTTCTGTAACAAGAGCAATTATAATCAGTTTTGCCCATACAATAATTTCTTCATCGTTATTCCTCATCAGGAGCCGGACAGGTCAGATCCTTTGCGTGGTCTTTTACGAAAGGTCTGATGTGCTTAAATAGATACAATTTTCTCTCAGCAGAAAGCCCACCTGCAAGAGAAAAAGAAATGCGCTGATCAATACTCTTTTTGTGAATTACAAGTGTAAGGATCTAAAGAAAGTTCTAATTTTAATACCTTTTACCAAAGTCGTTGGAAGATTCGTGGCAGAAAAACTAGCATCCTGGTCCTGAAGAAGCTTGATTGGTTTCTCAACATCTGTTGACTTTTCCTTCACGAAAACAATTCCTGGTTGCATTGCACTCAATCTAAAATGATGGAATCGTCGGATCCCTGGAATTGCTGAAAAATTCGCAGATAAAAATGACTTCCGGTCATACCATTGGAAGTCACTGTCTACCACTATGGCCTGGTTTCCCACGGCAGATTTAGTAACAGTTCTGTTTAAATCTTCGAGCGAGTCATTGTCAGTCCTATAATAAAACCTGTATCTATTAGTAGATTTCATCCAAATAAACATTTCTTTTTCTGTGTCTGTGTAAGAAATCGTGTCTGTGTAAGAATTCATATTAAAAGAAAAAAAAACACTGATAATTAATACTGTATGAATAAATCTTACTGACCTACGATACAATTTCTTAATGTAAGCAAATCCCGCGTCTACTAGGCACTTTGTATGCCCAGGTATTTGCATTGAAAGGGTTATTTCTCTATGAAGCCCAGTGAGAATTCTCCATGCAAGATAGCCCAACATGTAACGATTCTTGTTCTGTCCTACAATGTTAAGATCATTGTTAAACGTAAATAACACTTTATAAAATGGCCGTTATCGAAATTGATGTTCCAGACGTAAAAATAAGTGAAAGTGAAAAGCGCTTTAAACTTAAAAAGAATTGATCACCTGCACAGTTATCACTGACAGTGGATTTTGCAGGACATCTCTCCACAGCCGTAATTTTGTAATGCATGGTGCAAGAGAGTAATAACTGTGCCATGACCATGTGCCTTTGTACCATCCACTCCAATAGTGTGGTCCTCGTCAAAGAGATAGTTATACTGCTCTCTGCTCCCTTCCATACACACCCCAAAGAGCTGGACCTTTCTAGGGGAGGTAAAATAAAGCGGACCCTTTTTTCTGGCATGGTGTGGAATCGTGAGCTGCTGGGCAAAGTCGAAGGTATAGTGCACGTTGTACAAATGAGTTGACGATGACTGACAACCTACTGGGCGATGTCCATATTCTTCCAATTCACTCCGTGCAGCCTGAACGCTTTCTCTGTATATAACGTGTTCACCTGCTCGTCATGTGGAAAATACTTTTAATTTGATTATTGTTAAATCCTTGTTTCATTTGAAAAAAAAATTACTGATTTAAAACATCATTTTCAAAAATATAAACAAGATTATGAAATAGAATAAAGAAATATATATGAATTCTACCTTGCGAAACTTCAATATGGTATTTAAATGCTTCTAAGGCCATCAGTTTATCTTCTTCTGTGACAGCAGCTGTCACCTGACACCTTAGCTTCTCACATTTGGAACATACGTCTGATCTTGGTGAAGCTATTTTTATATGTGACATGCAGGTAAGCCAGATCCCCTTGAAGGTAGACAGTTCTACTGCTCTTACCTGACTTTTTTCACAAGCTGCTTTGTAATTTAGATGGATGTCTGCTTTCGTTGCAGAAGCTGGAAGTAAAATAGGTGTCTCCGAAGCATCATTAGCATGCGGTATAGCAGGCAATGGTATGCCGTTTTCCTCGCCAAATCTCAAAATAAAATTAACTACCCTCTTAATATCTTCGAATTTCAAAGCATGCTTAGGTTTTTTGCCTTTGTTGCCATGTAGCCTTGGAACAGGACCATTTTTCTTTAAATGCTGAACAATGTTTTTCAATCGCTTTTCCCCAATGCCGTGTATAAACAAAAATGCTTCCTTGCATATTTCACGATCGTCATAATTGTATACGAATCTTTGCCTCTTTTTTTCCCTCAAGTCATCGCCGATACTTTTACTTTTTAGCTTCCCCATTATATACATTTCTTGTTCATCTTTGGTAAGTTCTCTCATTGTATAAATGTGGTTGATGATCTCCTCAAATTGAACCTTTTCATAACACCTTGATTGGCAGCCGCAACCAATTCTAATCTTTTCTTTTATCAAGAAATCTTCCTCAAAAACTGTGTCTGTATCATTGTCTTCAGAGAGATCGTAATTTCTTGAAAGTCTATTAATTGTTTCTTCTTCTGTTTCATTTATATTTTCAAGTACCACATCGTTTTCGGTGTCATTGTCTTCTAAATTTTGTAAAACTCTTGGAAAATATTCTGCATTAACTTGATCTAATTCCTAAACAAAAACACAAACACAGTTAAAGTTTGAAAATATTTCTCTGAACTAAGTAAAATTAAGACGAAATAAATTTTTATCAGAAAAAATAATTCTTATGTATCAATTTCTTTTATTTTATAAATTAATTTACTTATAGGCTTTGAACGCATATACAGTCCGCGATCATTAAAGCCGCTTGGTCCGATTCTAATCGCTAAAAATATATATTCGTTTTTCTTCTTGAAAAATAATTGTCCATAAATTGCTTCAACTTTTGTCAAATTATATCCCCAAAGTCTTTTTCCTTTAAAAGATATCAAAATTCAAAAGTTAAAAAAATAATTTTTGTTAGGCCACACAAAAAATAATCCTATGTTGATCATTGTTGATATCGCATGAAATCATCCTCGAAAAATTAAATTTATCGCTTACATGTTTATCTCATGAAGAACAAACCCGAGCATTTTTTTTTCACAACAAAGTACATATATTACCTGTACACAATCATGGTACACGGACAATATTTAGCTCCTTTAAAAAAATCATTTAAAATATCTGATTTTCCATTATTCTTTAAATATGCATATTAATATAAAGATTACTATGGATTATATTCAATTAATTTATTAATTTTGAAAAGATGTATTATGACTAAGGCTTCTACAAATAGAGAAAAAAAAAATACTCGGGTTTGAATTATCTTCATTATTAGATATATCCGATAAACTTATTTTTTCAAAATTGACTTCACAACAGATCTTAACTTCCGTCAGGAACTACTGTTTGTTAATAAGGTTTTTGATCTGCGTTTTCCATGTAAGGATTGTTGTAATAAACTATTAAATCAATCTTATAATTTCTTTTTATACATTATCTATGTTATGACGTACTTTTATTGTGTAAAATAATATGTGCCTGTTCGGGTTAAGCGGCTTTAAATCACACCGTTCAATAGTTTTTTATTAGAGCGTTCGCAACACTATAGCTACGATAAACAATCTAAAAATAAATTACATAAACTTTCTGGATTCGAAGCGAATCACTATATGTAATAGTTATTGTATATTTATTATGGTGTATCCTGATTTATTTGGACGAGGGGCGGTGACGAGTGCGAAGCACGAGTCTCCGCTCTTCATCCAAATAAATCAGGATACACCATAATAAATATTCAATAACTTTCTTGTATCATGGCCAGGCAAACGTCATGTAACAAATTTCTATGCATAATTTTTAAGTACACCAATAGAATATGTAGTTTTTGTCAGGTGACTGCATGGATAATCTCTCCTTCCTGACATTTTTTTAATTTACACATTTTACGTTTGTGTGTTCATGAGAAATGACGTGCGATTGCAGCATCCCAGCTAAATATACCAACACGGATTGTTAATGAAATTCACAAAAAAACCTTCTGATATCAAAGAAGAAAAATTCGAAGTTGAAGAAGGAAAATGCTGGTGTATTCGATAAAAAAAAGATACCCGTTGATCATTTGACATATTCGAGAGCTGTCGCATCACCTTGTCAGGCCCGTAACTCTTCGTCTGTGGATGCAGTACAGCTGCACTTTATTCTTGTTGAGCACTTTATTCTTGTTGAGCAAAGAACACAGCAAAGATGGTAAATTTTCTACTAAAGCGCTATATTACAATGGATGTGATATTTTAATATATTTCTGTGTAGAATTAATGTCGAGAACTTGATTTTCGTAGCGATGGATGGAATAATTGCACTGCAGCAGAGTTCTGTAAAAGCATTTCGTAGTTTAGGATACGCACTGTTATTTATGTGAAAGACTTTTATTTCACTTGCAGAAATTTTGTCTTTGTGCATGTAACAAAGCCCATTTCATTGTGTAATTCAGATTAAATATACATGTAATTTAAAATGATGAAATCGCTTTGGTGTTCAATAATTTATTTACACGGCACAGTTTTAGCTGGCTCCGCCCATCGGTGTATCTCTAGTTATTGTACGCTTGACTTCAAAGGAAAAAACACCGCAGCCATGATACAAATATTAATTTCTTAAATAGTTTCCAGAGTTATAAAAAATTTGAATTCATATCAAGTTTCTGTTTACGTACTAAATACTTATGCAAAATATTAATGATACAATTCCATAATCTTCACTGTAATCTCACACATTTTCACAGCGCACACCATGCCATGTACGCGTACATGCTGTGGTGTACTTAAAAAAATTCCTTGTAACATAAGTTTTTTACATTTAAATGTAAAGCCAGTGTTTGTTTAAGAGGAAATAAAAGGGAAATGATTTAGGCAATATTTACATTTTCTTTTTTAGATAAGAATGTAGTGCTGAAAAAAGATATATGCAGTCATCTCTCTCTCTCTCTCTCTCTCTCTCTCTCTCTCAGACATCAAATACAAAGTAGCACTCTGTCATAGTTAAAACGTAAAAAATAGCATGTATATTTCTCTATATAAACATGTTATCTTTATGCATCAACGTATTACATGCATATCTTAGAGTTGACATCGCGACTCGTGTGTACTGAAGAATGTCGCGATAAGTTATAGGCCCAAATGTCTATATGATATAAATAATTCCAATAAAGAAAATACATACTCTACATAATTATATTGTTATCAATAATATATTCTAAATCAATTTATACATATACTAGAAATTCGGAAAAATCTTTCTATTACCTGGAAATCCATATCTATTTCATTCTCATTGATCATCAACACATCAAACGCAGCCGACAAAAATCACTTCCGTGTTTACAATACCGCGACTTTGACGTCGTTTTCTGAGCATTGTGACGTCATACGATAAGGGCCCTTTTCTCGTGACGGCAGTCATATAATATTGTAAAATTCTTGACTTTGTTGTTATATGTCATTGGTATTTCACCTAAAATAACATTCTCAGCATTATAACCAACTCTTTTATTCATTGTTTTGTAAATATGTAAACTGAGGCTGGCCCATAGAGATAAAACTTTTTCACAACCAGTGAAAACATGTTGAATAGTTTACAACAGATTTAACAGATTTATTAACAAGGGGACAGGCTCCGCCATATAGCGGACGAGAACGCTGTCCGGAGTGGCTGTCTTGGCGAAAGCCAGCCGATAACTGCATAAAATGTACAGAACAGTAAATTACATACAATTACATAATATTTACAATAGAGTTATTTATCAATGAATTAATTAATTATTTGTATTGTCCAGAGATAAATGTTTACTCAAGTCTTTGACTCTGAAGTCCTTGACACCTGTTAAATTTGATCTGCCCGAAGGCGCTTTGATAATTGTCCCGGATTAACACATGCATTTTTTACACTTATTTCCTTGGTCACATATTTATGAATTTAATAACGTTCGATCTGTTGGAATAAATTCAATAGTTAATCCCAAGGGTGGGGCATGTAAGAAATATTTTGCTCAGATATCTTTACAGAATTTTTACCTCACCGAAGCAAACTATGGTGAGCTTAAAAGACCACTCAACGTTCTTCTGTCTGTCTGTAAAATTTTTAGCATTTTCATATCAACTGAATCGATTTTATATTACTAGAAAAATCTTCTCAGGGAGTTGCTATATAGTACAAGTAACAACTTGATTTCTCATAAATACTAGGCAAGGAAATTGAAGCATATATATAAAAAAAAAAATCTAAAATGTTGAATTTGATACGCGGTTGGGCCACAACTTGATTTAAAGAACTACTAGTATTCATTTACTTTAAAATGTTGAGGATTTTTTCACAGTTATAGGTTAGACATTAGGTTTGAGTCTTGAATATTGAACAAATGTTATATGAACTCTAATATCTTAAAATATTGATCTACACAAATCAACACTGTGGCCTTTAAGCCTCTTGTTTTTTTTTATATATCTTAAAAAGAATGCTCTATATTGTTCTATATATTAACATATTCAGATGGGGAATGCGACTTCTAATAAGGTTTACAATGCAACTCCTTTTATACATCTATTAATATCTCCCTCTTGTTGACTAATAAATATGTAATTAAAATGTTTCACATTATTTTTAGATTGTCATCGCAGTAATAAGAAAAAAATTCAATGCATACATTACTGACTGGACTAATTACCTGGAATGGGGCTTAATGATTGTTTACGTATGCGGCATGCTGTTTAAACTTGGAGATGGAAAGCCATATCGACAAGCCGAAAAAGTCCTTTTGGTTCTTTCCTTTATTCTTATATGCGTTAGATTTCTTAATCTACTGATTATATCAGAGATCATAGGAGCAAAGCTAGTGATCATTAGAAAAATGGTAGAGTATACAAAATACGAATGAAAGTGGAATAATGCATTTCACATTAACAGCATCGATTTAAAAAACTTTGGCAATTTTTTTTATATTTGTTATTACAGTTTATGGACACATTTGCATTCCTTATGATAATCACCGTAATCACTTATTGCTACAGCGTGTCATACTTCGCCATTTTGTATACTGACGACTCAGATTTAAGTTTTACTCAGATTGAAAAGATAGCTCGAAATGGTTTTTGGATTTTATTTGGCGAACTATCCCTTGAAAGTGATAGATGTAAGTAATTATCACTACTTCGCTTGGTTATTAAGGGTATACTGTGGAATGTTCTTGTCAACATGTCTGTCTGTTAAAATTTTCTCACATTCTTTTTCTCCAATTATCAATTAGGTGTATGCATTTTCAACTTATGCGTTTCTGATATTCTAACTTTGATTAATGAAGCTTCATTCTTTAAAATTTTATCTTATTTGACAAAAAAAATTTCTGGTCTTCAATAACCGTGAAACTAGATAAATATTTGAATTATTTCTTCCAAAGTTGCGGAGTAGTAATTGTCCTCTGAGAATAGTGTCTAGATATTTATATTTACATGGATACTGTTTGTCGGAAATATGCAAAACATCTTATAAAACATATTTTATTTTAATCAATTCAATTTTTAATTTTGTAATAAAAATGAACAATATAAGAAGTGAAATTATCTCAGTGGGGAAAAATGGAGGCTTGATATTTTAGTGAAGGAACCTGATTGTACGTTCAACAAAGAAATGTACGACAGTGGTGAGATGGAACGCTGTCCGTCTGAGCTGGGCTTGTTTCTGGCACCCTATCTGAAAGCAGTGTATGCATTGATCGCTATCATTCTGCTACTGAATCTACTGATTGCGATGTACAGGTACATGTAAAACCTCTTGAATGTATTATATATAATAACTACACTAAATTTGTAGCTATTGAACCACCTCATATATAAAAACTTTTTTATCTCCTTGAATATATGATGTTGTACACTGTAGCTTCATTATCCATATTAAAAGTTAATAGTATGTTCCATACTGGCTATTAGTAATGCTTTGATAAAACTGAAACTGTTGAGGATTTTTATTTAATATGAACACTCTCAAAATGAAGCTTTTAATTGACATCTTTTCATGCAACAAATTTAATGTATGCAATTTTTATAGTTATTTAGGTTTTTTGAAATCTTTAGATGTAACTTGTAAATATTGACATTCGCGTCCTGTAAAAGTTAAAAACAAATCATTAAAATCGAACTTTGTATTTATAAATATCTTACTGAGAGTATTTAATTTACATGAAAAATACATATCCTTCAAATTGCACAATAGAAACTCGACGGTCGCGCAACTGATGGTGGCTTCATGTAGCATTGTAGGAAAAGCTTATAGTAACGTACCTACTGTTTTCAATGATTTTTTTTCTTAATTTCAGTCATACGTTTGAAGAAGTCCACGAGAAAAGCAAGTTTTATTGGTCACAACTTCAGTTAGATTTTCTGGAAGAATACAGCGTGAAGACAATTTTCCCCATTCACTTCCAACTTTTAGTGCTACCAGTCTCTTTGGTTCATTTTATGATTTGGTTTCCTTTCTTCTTCGTACGCAAGAAAATACAAAAGTGTATTTGTGGAGACGACGGAGGTGATAGCGACAGTGAATTGGACGATGACTTTTATTTTGATGTTGATGACGATGAACTCAATAAAAGCCCAATGTTTGTTAGAGGTAGATAATCAGTTAAACAATTTGTTTGCAGACATTAAATGCTTTTTAAGTTTCAAAAAGTCTTTTATTTGATACGTATACAAATGCAAGTGTAAAAGGCAATTAATCGTTCTTAACATCTCTAGCTTTTCTATCTTATTCTACAATAACATAATTTATGCGAGCTTCATAGATTATTAGGTGCAACGTTTTTAGGAGTTTGGTTTACAGAGAAATAGAAATATACAGAAGAAATCATTCAAATTATCTTTCACTGTGACAGCAGAGATTGATAAATCAAAATACATGTATGCAAGAGTCCGAACTTGCTATTCCTCAATCCTTTAAAAAATTATATTTTCATTGACTGCGATGGACCACAATATTGAATTATAGTTTTCAATATTAATTTCAAAAAAATCGCTTTTCATTAAACATCTACACAGGTCACAATGAAACATCAAATTTTGCAACAGCTTGCTTTGGCGTTGAATAATAAATGCAATTCAAAGATAGATACCTAGTCAATCACTCCACTTCCCCACTTCCTAGAAATTATATAACTATTAAAACCACTTGTTTCTATTTCCAGTGTTCCTATACGACAAAAACTTCGACCTGAATTTAAAAGACACAAATGAAGCTGAGGGACAAGCTGCATTGAAAGCATCAGGGTATATTTATATGTTGTAATTTAAACGTGTAATTTAAATGTATTTTGAACTGAAGAAGATTCCTATATTTATTTCATTGATTATAAGAGGAGATTTTTTTTTAAAAAGTGTAATTGTTACATATCTGGAAACTATTTTCAGATTAACAGAGTTGCGATGATCAAAGCGATCGGTATGGCTACATGTAACTTGTTAATTTAGGCTATATTGGTTCAGTGTTTCTAATAAAGTATACCAAGATGGTCATAATTTGAGATACTTGCATACATAAAATCAATTTCTTCCTGTATGTACTGTATTGCAAAAAAAGGTGCTGAAATTAAAAAAAATCCAAAGGTACTTTTCTTCACGAGGTTATAATTCCGTGGAATCACATTCCTGTGTAATTCAAGAGCAGGAAATTATGCGATTTTTTAATTGCACGTTTATGTCTTAAGGGGACCGACTATAGTTTCCATTGCGCAATATTTCGCGCATCATAGTAAAATGAAGCACATTTACTGTTTTAATGCAACGTTTTTCGCTTAATTATTAAAATTAAACAAAATTAAGAAATTGTAGGTATTAAAATATAATTACAATCTGATATAACGAATTTTGTAACCAGTTTTGCAATTGATATGTAGGTTGACCTCGCTGCAATGTCTTTTTGACGTTAGGATAATCTTATCTCTTAAACAAATAAATAATAAAAATATTATTAAAGAAAAAGTAATAAACATACGCTCTTGAAATTTAAAACAAAGAAATTTGAGAAAATCTCCAATGTTTTTATAATGTTTTCATGTGAATCCATTGTGTACGTCATATTTTGTAGTACGCTATAAAAATAGTAAAATTTGCTAATTTTTGGCATTTTGAGATGCCCCTCTGGTAACAAGGCGGTAGAATTTTGTGTTTCTTACATATATTGTATAATATAGTATTACTCATCAAATATTATAGTTTGAACGGAATGTCTATTGTAGTATTTGTATAATTTGCTTTAAAGTGCTAAAAATTTGCATTTTCTTACATAATCCTATAGTAAATGTACCTATATTTTGAGACGGTCCCTCAAAAATACCTGGACGGTAGATTTTCCCCAAACTTTGCATGTACACTGAAGTTAATGTAAGTTATATATGGTATAAAAATGAATAGTTTCGCTATTGTATTTTTCACACAATAAAACTATAGTCGGCCCCCTTAAATAAACTTTTAAATAAGCAATAATTTTTTTCTTGTATAATGACAAATCAGAAAACAGCTGTTGCTTTCTTTTTGAATTATGTAGTTTGTATTGATACTTTGCAATGACTTTTTGTTTGTTTTTCATTCCAGAGATTTGGATACTAACGATGAAGACAAAATAACGGTAAATCTTTTGAGCAAAAATGTTAAATACCCACCCAAATCTCCCAAGAAAAATATCAGAAGCATTATTAAGGTGGCTCTTTACATCCACAGTTTATCTTAGATTTCATAGAAGCTTCACTTATAATGAAGATGTCAAATATCCAAAATAAGCTTTGATATCATAAATATATTTTACAAGATGCATAATTCTGTTTATCGGTTTTTGATTTCGATGAACGGTGTTGCCGTGGTTACTAAAAATAGAAATTTCTGTGAAATACTTTCAATATGCTACTCCTCCTACAGTTTTTGTCTGATTTCAATATAACTTGGCACACGAGTAGATTACACTAAGCTTCACAATTCTGTATATTGATTTTTGATTTCGAGGAATGATGTTGCCATGGTTACTAAAATTGAAAATACTCTAAAAGTTTGATTTATAGCTACTCCTACAGCTGTAGTCTTATTGCAGTATCTTGCCACAAAAAGAGCTCAATCAAGCATAATTATTCTTTTTATTGCTGTTGTAAAGTTTTAAGTCCCAACTGCTACTTTTGTCTTTATTTATTGGAAGTACAAACCAGTAGAGCTTCAGTCTCGACAGAAACTTATGGTTCCTCAAGTGATCTTGAAGTTCCCCAAATGACCTTGGGTCAACGTCAAGACACACCCTTATTTCATGGGCAATCTTTGTGTGAAATGAGAACCTACCAAGTTTATCCATAAGAAAGATATGGACCGGACACGAATTATGAAATTTTTCTTCTAGTGACCCTGAAGTTCCCCAAATGACCTTGGGTCAAATTCACGACACACTCTTAGGTCATGGGCAATCTCTCTGTGAAATGAGAACCTACCAAGTTTATCAATAAAAAAAGATATAGACCGGACACGAATTATGAAATTTTCTTCCAGTGACCTTGAACTTCCCCAAATGACCTTGGGTCAAGGTCATGACTTACCCTTTGGTCATGGGCAATCTTTGTGTGAAATGAGAACCTACCAAGATTATCCATAAGAAATACATGGACCGGACACGAATTATGAAATTTTTTCTTCCAGTGACCTTGAAGTTCCCCCAAACGACCTTGGGTTAAGGTCATGACACACCCTTAGGTCATGCGCAATCTTTGATTGAAATGAGAACATACCAAGTTTATCCATAAAAAAGATATGGACCGGGCAGGAATTATAAAATTTTTCTTTCAGTGACCTTGAAATTCCCCAAATGACCTTGGGTCAAGGTCATGACATACCCTTGGCTCATGGGCAATCGTTTTGTGAAATGAGAACCTACTAAGTTTATCCAAAAGAAAGATATAGACTGGACACGAATTATGATATTTTTCTTCCAGTGACCTTGAATTTCACATAATGAACTTGACTTAAGGTCCTTAGGCCAGGAGGAATCTTTGTGTGAAATGAGAACCTACCAAGGTTATCCATGAAAAAGATATGGACCGGACACAAATGATGAAATTTTTCTTCGTGACCCTGAACTTCCCCAAATGACCTTGAGTCAGTCATTACACACCCTTAGGTTATGAGAAATCTCTGTGTGAAATTAGAACCAACCAAATTTATCCATAAGAAAGATATGGACAGGACATACAATGATTTTTTTCTCGCAGTGACCTTGAACTTCCCCGAATGACCTTGGTTCAAAGTCGTGACACACCCTTAGGTTATGAGCAATCTTTATGTGAAATAAGAACTAAGTTTATCCATAAGAAATATGTGGACCGGACACGAGTTATGAAATTTTTTCTTCCAGTAACCTTGAACTTCCCTAAATGACCTCGGTTTAAGGTCATTGCACACCCTTAGGTCAGGAGGAATCACTGTGTGAAATTAGAACGTACCAAGTTTATCCATAAGAAAGGTATGGACCGGACACTAATTATGAAATTTTTCTTCCAGTGACCTTGAACTTCCCAAAATGACCTTGGTTCAAAGTCATGACAAATCTTAGGTCATGTGCAATCTTTGTGTGAAATAAGAACTTTCCAGATTTATCTATAAGAAAGATAAGGACCGGACAAGAATTATGAATTTTTCTTCCGGTGACCTTGAACTTCCGCAAATGACCTTGGGTCAAAGTCATGACAAACCCTTACGTCATGATCAATCTTTGAGTGGAGTAGTAGATTCTAATGTTCCTCAGTAAGAAAGATTTGTACCGGAAACGTTTACACAGACAGACGGAAAAAGTGATTCCTATATACCCCCAAACGTCGTTTGCGGGGGTTATAACAAGGTTGTAGATTTAACTCGAATTTCCTCCATACAAACATGTCATTGACTGATAGAGCTCACTTTCTCGCTATGAAATTGATTATTACTTGTTAGGCGAAGATCCGGCTGTTGTTTTCTTTTGTTTCTCTTTAAAAGCAATCCTGCTGATTTATGCATAATGAATCCGTTACTTTGTTTTCACTGTTTAAAACATCGCATATTTCATCTATTTTTAAGGCGTTTTTAAGGTCTGGGTCGTACATAAATATACCTGTACAACTCTTCCCTAGAGTAAAACGGTCGAAACAATGGAGGCTTTTTATTTTTTGTATATAGTGAGTCATCAAAAAATGGTGTAATGAGCCTCCTTAAAATTAAAACAGATTAATTCTTGACGGTTCTATTTATTTACACATATGAAGTTCCTTAAATCAAAGGATAGGTCCAAGTCCGAAAAAATATGTTGCAGATAATTTATGTAACTTAAATTAGTATGTAAGTTTGACAACAGCATTTTGAATACCTTAAACTGTGGTACATGCACATTATTTAGGAAAAGTTTTATTAAAGTCAAAGGAAAAGTCAATTTAAAAAAAAGTTGAATAGCTTTAATCGATACTTTCGTTCTGTATTACATGTAAAGTTTGATAAGACTATCTCCAATAGTTTATTATACCGCCACTCCGAGGTAAGGGGTATACTGTTTTACCCTCGTGTGTCTGTCCGTAACAAGTTTTGGTCACTGTTTTCTCAGCAACTACTTATCGCAGATGTTTGAAATTTGAGCACATCCTTTGCTGAAGAATGTCATATGGTGGGATTCCATTTTGTGTAATCCGACTTCAATTTCTTATTTATCCGTATGTCTATCCATACAATGCATGTACATATCAAATTTTCGTCGCAGTTTTCTCAGCATCAATTCATCGCAGATGCTTAAAATTTTAGCACATTCTTTGCTAAAGCATACCATATGTTGGGGATAATTTTTGTACAAATCTGATGTCAACTCCTGTTTATCTGTGCGTCTGTCTGTAACTGAACTTGCTTATGTATACTTATATTACAGCGGGGGGTAGTACTAGTGAGCATTGGTTCACAATATTCTTGTTTGAAACAGAGCAAAACACTAATGTGAAGATGATAAGACAAGTTCAAAGGAAAAGTCAAGGTTTCAAGAGTACATTTGTAGAATTTACATCAACAAATTTGAATAATTTACATTAACACATATAAGCATATAAAGTATAATAAGTTTCCTTTATATACTTGCTAGGACCTTTTTCTTAAAGTAGGGTTAAATTCAAAGGAAAAAAACAAGGTTAAAAACTGATGATGTAGTTGAATAGCTAACATTAGTTTGTATCATTATCCTAAATTTTATATAGACATCTTGACTGGTTTTCTTAAAACTGAGCTGAACACAAATAAAGAAAAATAAGGTCAAGGGCAAAGATATCGTCAAGGTAAAATAAAATGTTGATGTAGATCTCATAAATTTTTTTCAGGTCAAAAAATGATAAAAATATCTTAAACAGGTTCTTTGAAACTGATCTAAAGCGTGACGAAAAGACAGACTGAAGGACAGAACAACAGAAGGCGGTCATATTCATGGCGGGCCGAAAAAGGCCTACATTACTGGTTTCAGATAGAATTTTTTAAAAAAAGAAGATGATTTATATAATAGATAAGCTTTCTCATACAAGAAAACCGCATGACCACATGAAAATATCGCTATCCTGGACATTTCGACGCTTCTTTTCACATTAAAACTCTAAGTTATTGTTTTAGTTCAGACAAAGCAATTGTGACATCTTTAATATTGAGGGGAAAAATAATATCTACTTATGACTCTGTTTTCTCTCAGTAGATAAAAATTTGTTAATGATGTATTTCTAACAGGTTCTTCAAAGGAAAATGAAACGACACAAAAAGCTCACAAGAAGTATTGATGGAAGGACCTCCAAGGTCAGATAGAAATTGTGGTTTATAACAACTCGTTCTTCTTTCTAAATATGCTTTTTCTTTTTGCTTAGACTGATTACAGTCTTTCTTTTGTTTTAGTTTTTTTCAATAATTTGAGTAAAGTGCACCGAGATTAATAAATATGAATTTGAAGTTTCAAATTTAAATAATGAAGGCTTATGATTTTTTTTATTTTTTTCTCTTTGTAGATCATGTCAGAGGTTATGCAAATAAAGAAAAATATAAGAGACTTGCATCAAGCGAGTGAGTTCAAAATGCTTTTTATAGACAAGTTAGATCTAAATGATTAAACAATGAATCTGAATTTGTTAAACGAAATAAAAATTACAAATAGGAACTTTTTTTAAGTGCACTTTAAAAATTTATCCTTCATAATTCCGTCATACATGTACAACAAACACTAAGGAACATTTGAACAACGAAAATCCAGAAAAGGTGTAATTGTGTAAAAAAAAAAATTAAACTAACAAAATTACTTAAGTCAGCAAGAAAACCGTAAGTCCATTACAATTCTTATTAATAAGTATTGTAGAACCTGACTGAAATTTGCTCAAATTTGATAATCAAACATATGTCTGAAATACATAAAATAAATGTATATTTTTAGTTTCTCCAAAAACTATGCCACAGGAAAATGAAAGAAGTGAATCAAGAGCGTTCAATGACACCTGGGGTGCAGGTAAGATTACTATTGTATTCCTAACCGTGGCACTTTGCACCTAAAAAATACCTATAAAATGAAAATTAAAACCATATTAAAAGCGTTTCCTATAAACGAAACGCATTAGACATATAGAATGAGACTGACAAGGAAGTAAACATATACCTGTATCATTAACTCACTTTGCACATCATTTTTAAAAGAAAAAAAATGGTCTTTTATTGAAGCCAAACTATTAACTCTTAATTGATGTATCCCCCTTGCAAGTGTTTCAAATTAATTTTCTCCCATTTTTACATCTTCAAGACGTAAGGTACAAAAATATCGATTCGTTAAATTCACGTACCTACTTCACAGACCTAAAAAGTCATTAGATTCCAGTGTGGTAAACAGTGTATCATATATCAAAGTCAACGAAAAAGGCAGATAATAAAAAAAATGTTAAAAGAATTTTTAAAATGTTTTGAGTGAATTTTATGCTTAAATGAAATGTATAATTCCACTATACTCCCTATATTTTATATACAAATGCATTGAACATAGATACATGGAGAAGACAACGTCTCATGGATATGCTGTCGGGAGAAGACTCGTTCATGGACTCCTGTTCATCGGACGATTCTGAAAAATATGGTAAGGAATATATACATATATTTATAGATTTTTGCTTCATATACATATGTATACATGTTTCATAAGTGATAAATGCATTATTATACAGTATTTTTGTCATCACAAATATAATGCAAAAAGTATACACATTAACTAAAGGGTTGTGCATATCAAATGACAGTAATAGTTATTTAAAATAACTATTTAATTTTCACTGCTTTATGGTGCAGAGTTTATTCGAAAAGCTTTATTCTTCCTATTTTATTTCAGATACAGACTAGAAACAAATTTGGCTGTAGAGTCTTTCATTAACAGCTATACCAATATTTAAAACTAAATCAAAATGTATATAAAATATCGATAATCAGTTTAATGCTTTTGTTAATTTAATTATGATTCTGCGTTTACATGTTTTTTTATGATGAGAAGATATAATGAACGTCAAGTTTCAATTTTTCTTTTAATTACGATGGTACTGTTTTGTTTTAGAATTTTACACATCGGAAATATTATTCAATAAAAAAAATCTTGACCGAAGTATAAATTTTATTATTTCTATTTATTAGATTTACATGTACACACTCTTGTTATTATATCATTATAAGTCTTAACTCTTTTACAATTAATCTTGCTAGAATTTTTTCAAACAAAAACAAAAACTATATACCTTTTATAATTGTAATTATACTGGTATTTTAAAAATGGTACATGTATGTTAATTATTGACCATTTGGGAAAAAAATGTAAAACATTATATATATTTGTTAAATTTAAATTATTATACAACATTTGCTGTTTTTCTCTCGGTCAGTACGATGGTTTAGCCACCTAGAGAGTACAATATTGTACTTCGAAAGTAGCTCAATCATCGTATTGACTAAAAAGACTGCAATAATTGTTTTATTATATGATTTAAAGATTAACTGCATGATCTATATTTAAAGAAATGTTGAGAAAAAATGCATATATTCAACTTGAAAATTACGTGGATGTGAATATATTTTTCTACATTGCTGAATCAAAGCCAAGTAGAGAGATAGGAAATATTCAATCATTTACCCAATAATAAATGTTGTTATACAACTATTACTATTTTTATTAATTTTCCACCGTCAATGTATGCATTTATTATATAGCTAATAAATAGTCTCTAATAAAATACTACCAAAAGTCTAGGGAATTTTACCGTACAATATATTGACGTTTTATTGAACGCTGAGTTTATATTACGTAAACGAGTATGCCCGAAACATTCCGAATACGAGCGTTCAATATCGCACGCCCCGTTGTAAACAAAAAAAAGTCGTCTGGTCGAAATCTCAGAGTTAAATTAAAGAAAGGAAGTGGCATCTAGGTAAGATGTTTTATTTTTTACACAATAATAAAATTTATTTATTTGTATTTATGAAAAATTTAGTACGTATTAGACCCATAAAAACCTAAATAAGCAAATCATAAGCTTGGTAGGGTCTTCGGAATGATGCGATATTGAACACTTAAGACATGCGTTACTTTGAATATGGATACTAAAAATCATTAATTCGAGATTTTTTTAGTTTGAATAATATATACATAATATTATAAATTATGACGAAATGTTCAAGCTACATAATAAAGGAGTTATTGAACTTGTGCATTTGTACAGCCAATATTCACAAATATAAGATCAATTATCCTCTATATATAATATACTATTTAACCGTGAGATGGTAAAGGAAATTACTGTCCAAATTTTTTTCATGGATAATGGCATCAAATTTTAAAAACTTTGTATTTTTTTTAAATCGTTAGTTTTGTTACTTGGGGGGGGGGGGGTATGTTCAATATATGAGTGAATAAGTTGGAATTTGCATATCTCAGCTATCTTGAATTTCCCCCTACAATATGTTTTGGAGGATTAAATAGGGTTATCGCTTAACCTGCATCCAGTGCCGGTTGGTCGGATTTCCTCCAACGTATCGTTACAAAAAATGCTTTATTGTTAAAAAAAACAAACAAACATAACAAAACATCGTATTATTTGTTTAGTTAATTTTAATCTGAAATTCTGAAGCGTTCAGGGATATTTTTACAATATCAGAAGATGGCTAAAGAAATTTATTTCCTTTGCTATCGAATTTAAATGAAATTCATTGTTTTAAGCCACTTTACCAGGACCAATTCTCATCAAAAATTAAGACAAAGAAATCACAGGGAAATTATAACCTTTACAAAGCTTTGAATGAGTAACATTTAATCCTGCATTCGAGTATACAGATTGAATATTGACTACTAATATGGTAATATTTATATATGTATATGAAAGCTATTTTTCTAAGGATGTATTTATTTTATGTCCAAGCGTTCGATTTGGAGTTCTCTCACACATGTACGAGAATCTAGTTTCATACCTCTATATCAATTCCCTTGCAGTGAATATTTTTGTCATTGAACAAACAATTGTGTACTGTATGTAAAACTCTCCTTTGATGAAATTGAATGACGAATGAACAGGTTTTAAGAAAAAGGTATGGTTTCAATACAAATCGCGTTCGCTATGATTTTCTGAGAAAACAAAACTGATGTAAAAGAAAAAAACATGAAATCTAGTGCTTTCTGAATCTTGAAATACCAAGCAGATAAATCGTAAAAATCATTTTTCTTACATGCATTTCTAAGTGATTTATACGACGTCATAAACATTTTTCCCCCATTTTCTTGAAAAGTTTCAGAAGACACTTTTTTCAATGGATTTCTTTTTTCAGATAATATTGTCCACGGATATCGCCGATAAAGAATTTGATATATGGGATTTCTTTTTATTGAATTTTGCACAACATATCCAAAACTTAAAAGTGACTTACGGCCGTGGACACTGTTTTATGAAGGAACATTACCCTTAAAATTGGCCACTTTGAGGCTTTTTCTGTTTAAATCAAGAAATACATTATTTTTATGACGTCGTATTTCAAGAATCGTACTCTTCAAGCCATATTATTCTTGATTAATCAGTCAAAAACTCAACTAATATTTAAGCCACTTTCAAAACTGTTTGAAAACAGAACGTATTTAGGGCACACAAAAAAGACAAAAGCGCATTCCTTCTTATGTGTTTTCAAACGAAACAACTCCCCCTAGAATTTGTATCCTTCATTTGTTTTAATAAACGAAACAGAAATAATGTAATTATTCATCCATATTAACTTCAACTCTTCCAAATTATTCATTAAAATTATCCATGTTTTATTACAACAAGGTATCTATCGTGTTTTTATTCGAGGAAATTCAAACTAAAACTGTTTACAGTAAACATTTTCCTACGTGGGGTGAAATCCTTGCATTAATTTCAGTACATTGTCTATATTTTCATTTTGATACTCACTTTAATTTGTTTCACCCAAAGCTTTCAGTTCTTGAGTCCATTAGAACTCTTTGTAAATATTTCTGCTTTTGTGTGGGAATTACTCAGCTAAGGGGAGAAAAATCAGACTCCTACATTTTTAGTGTTTTTTATATTAGTAACTTTTGAAAACGGATACTTTTTTCAAAGATAAGAAAATTTTTACTGTCGTAATAAATTTTGTAGACAAGTAATCCAAATATTATGTTGCCGATTGTAAAAGGCAATGTATAGTAGCACTAAAACTATAAGATTTTTGTAAAAACAATCCATTGTATATCACTAAAATAATTTTTAAGAATTCATTAACGTTTAATAAATAAATAAAGAAATTTAAGGAGTTTGTCTTTTTTCTTCTTATTTTTATGAGGTGTTTGCTTTATTGCAATTGCACAAATGATCTGAAAACAGATTTGGTGTTCCAAATGAAATAATAATCAAAACATACATTCTATTTTTTTTTCATTAGTTACAACGAGGTCATATTGCTCGTGATTTTGAAGCTTTAAAATTAAGTCAAATTCAACGTTATCTTAAAAGAACCAAACTGAATTTAAATTATATCTATTTACATAGGATTCCGAAACTTCATAAAAATCCTTACAAACAAAAAACGCGTCCCAGTAAGTGCTCAACAAAGCTTTTTTCTTTACTCCTCACTTAGATTTAAACAACAGTGAAGGAGAAAGAGTACTGTGAAACCATATATTCAAGAAGTCATGTAAATCAGATGTGAATACCACATAGTCGCGGACACATCTGTTTCATATTTGGATTTTTTACTTGAAAAAGACGTTAATGGTAGTCTAACAACCAAGCTCTATGATGAACGAGATGAATGTAACTTTACAATTGTTAACCTTCCTTACCTGTTCAGCAATATACCTTTATCACCAACGGAAGGAGTTTATATATCTCAATTGATTAAAATTTAGCACAAATGTTTAACTTATTTATCATGTACGTAGTTACCGATATTGCACAATATTTAATTAAATTTTTAATATAAATAATATCATTTTGACCT